GGGGGGCTGGGCGACCTCTTTTCGGGCTCCGCGTGCGGCGTCCATGCCGGCCGAACTTGGGCCCCCTTGTCAGCGCGTGTGCGGTGATTCATGCCCCCTCTCTCCTCGGCCGGCCGGGGAGGACGGGGACAGCTCCGTGGCGGGGGCAACGGGAGGCCCGGGGGCGCTAGCGACTGTGACTCATGGGCGCGTGTTGATGCGGGGGATGTCCAGAGACCGAGCAAGCAAGCAAGCACGCGCGTGGGTGCATGCGTACACCCCAGGAGCGGAGAGTCGCGAGGCGGGGACAGGGGGCTGGTGCCTGCGCCCCTCCCCGCCCCCCCTCCCCCCCCCCCCCGGCGCCTCCCAACCGCCGGGGGGTCCGGGGGGTCCGGGGGGGCGGCGGGGCGGGACACCGGGGTGCCGCCCGACCGTGGGGAAGTCTACCGCTAGGAGGAATGGCGGACGGTGTCAAGGCGGAGGCGGCGACGGCGCCGGTGGCGGCTACAGCAGCAGCCGCAGTAGTGGCTGCGACAGCGGCAGGCGTCTGCGCGACAGTGGCCGGGATGCATCCTGGCGGCGGGTGCCGGGCTGTGACGCACAAAACCGGTCGGGCGCGAAGGGAACGGCCCGGGCGCCGGTCGAATCCGCGCCAATCGGGGCCCCCTGCTGCGAGGGCCCGCCGGCTGGGAGGGGGTTTGCCGGCGATCGGGGGCAAATCCCTCTCCGCCCGGCGCCCGCGCCTGGTGGGAGGCAGGGGGGCGGCCTTTCCACGAGTGCATGTGCGAGGGGCCGCAAGAGGAAGCAGCGCGAGGGGGGAGGCAGGGAGACCGAGCGAGGGGGAGAAAGTGAGCGAGCGCCCGCATGTGCAGGTGCGCTCGTTTGCACGCGCTGGTACACGCGCGCGCCCCCCCCCCCCACCCCCCCGGGCCATGTTCGCCCGCCCTGGGAGCCATGAGAGCCGCCCACACAATAGGCCCTGTCCCGAGAAGGGCGCCCCTTTTGGCGGAGTCACTTCGCCCCCCCCCCGCGCCCCCGGCGGGCGGAAGAGGTTGTCCGTCCGCGTTGCAGTGACTCATCGCCGGGGGCCGGGGCCGGGGGCTGTGCGGAAGCCGGCGTGTGTATGCATAGCCCCCTCGGGCCCGCGAGAGGATTCGAGCACATGCCCGTGCTCGCCCCATGCCTCGCCAATTCCGCGTCGCTTCGGCCGGCCCGCCCCCGAGTTCTCGGCCTTCCTCCGTTGGTGGGATGTGCATGCGCGTGTGTGCATTATAGCCAGCCCCGCACACGGGTCCCCGGAGGCCCGGCCCCAGCCTCGAGGGCGGCATTCAAGTGTGATGCCCTTGTCTCTGGGCACCTTCCCCGGCCACCATTGTCTACCTGCGCGTGTGTGTGTGTGTGTGTGTGTGTGTGTGTCAGCCTCCGGGGACAGGCACCGAGGCCCTGCGGCCGGGGAACGCCCGGAAGGTCAGCGTCTGGCCGCCTGGGAGTGCGAGATTTCTTCGACCGTTGGCCCCTTCCGCTCGGGCCCCGCGCTGTCCCTTCGCCCCACCGCCCTTCCCCCGTATGTTGGCGCTTGTGTTAAGCTTGTGGCGGCAGCGCCCGGCTGGCGGTGTTCCCCGCCCCCCCCCCCCACCCCCCTTCCTGGCCCGCCCTGGCGGGTCCTGGCAGGGATCTTCGCTCGGGGACCGACGACGCCGAGCCCGGGTGCCAGAGCGCACGCTTGCGCACGGGCCGAAGCGTGTGGAGACCCTCCCGCACCTACATGGCCGGGGACAAACAGTTCGCCGGCCAGGAGGGACTTCTTTGGCCGTTGCCGGAAACTGGGCAGCCGGCCGGGGGGGGGGGGAGGCGGCGGGGGCGCCTCGCGAACTTCTTTCCCGGGGCCCGCCCCCGGCACGGAGAGGCCCGACAAAAGAAGATCCCATCACGACGGGACGGATGGGGGGGGGGGGGGGGCGAGGGAAGCCCGCCCCCACGCAACCCGGCCCCCGTGCTGGTGGCGGCCTTGCCCGGGCCTCAGTCGGAGCGCGTGTCGAGGGCCTCTCGGCACGTCGGTGCCTCTCTCTTGTCCTGGGTCGGCCGGGAGGTGAAGGTGGCGGTGAGTCTGCATGTGCGTGTACGGGTTTGACTCATCGCGCGCCGGCTGGGACCCGACCGCCGCCGGCCTCGGCCGGCATCTCATGCCAGGGACCGGTCGAGGTCGGCCAGCTCGCCCCTTCCCCCCCCCCCCCCTCGGCCAGCCGGCCCGCCGGCCCGCCGGCCGTCCCCTCCAGCCTGGCGGCAACTGGCGGCATCAGCCGGCGCAGGGGAACGCCTGTGCTGCTGCGGCTATGACTCGGGCCCTCGGGCCGCGCCCTTGCCGACGCCTCCCGCCCCGGGCCAGGTCCGGCCTCCGGGCACACGAGAAGGCGCCACCACAAACACCTGCACACGCGCACGCACGCGCACGCATGGGCCCCAGGGCCCAGGGGTGCACCCGGCCGGAAAGGAGCCAGCGCAGGGGTCCCCCTCAGGTGAAGGGTCCTCTCCCCGGACCGAGCCGGCTCCGGCCCTCTTCCCCACG